TCATTTCCTTCTTTCCTATCTGTGTTTCCTCTTCTACTGCAAGTTGGGAACAACCTGATGACAATATGCAAGCAATTTCATGGTGGTTGCAGGGGAAAACCCCTACCAGCCTTGTCTGCCCTAACGGGGGACTTTCTGCACTTCTGGGTGAGTTAGGGTGGAAGCTTCTTTTCGTTTCCTTCTGTTTAACAAGCTCATGTAGGCCTTGTTAAAGATAATTGATGGGTGGTAGTGATTGAGCTGGTGCCACTGTCTGCCACCCCCACACAGGGGAGGGGTGTCTCGCTGCTGGTTCTCTTCCCTTCCAAATTGCATCCAGTTTTTCTGCCTGCCTGCCTGCAAGCTTCAGGACTGGGAAACAGAGTTGAGCCCAGTTGTCTAGCAGCCACTGTAAACAAGTAGATTTGGTGGCTCATATATAGGTACTAAGATACCTCCTAGTGTGGAAGACCATAGTAGGTGATGTTTGTTACTCTACTTCTGTCTTGAAAACTTTTCTGGAGGCATTATTACCCTATATACACATAAATGCATCTAGAAATTTTAGTTCATAAAATCTAAACGAAATTAATTTATCGACAGGTCAAGAAAAGGAACCGCCCCCATCTCTGGACCTCATTACATTGATGAGGTCCCACGTTCCAATTTGGCAGCCTCCATGACGAATCAGCAGGGCAGTTAGGCAATCCTAGCACACAGCGCCCTGCCTCACTAACAGCAGAACTTCCCCATCACACATGGAGAAATGTTGCCGCATGGCTTTCCCCTGCACTAGCCCCATGGTACAGCACTGTAGGACACTTGTACCCCGGTTGAGCCATGGAGCCCTATCTAAAGTGAGCCTATGTCATTTGATGGGTGATTTTGGGTACATGGCTTAACTGGGTCAGAAATGTCCCAGAAATGTGATGCTGAAATTTACACATATGATGAGGTCTTCTGAGTATAGCAGGGAAAGGAAAGATGTAGTCCATTCCAGGATAACCTTTTTTTTAAGGTTCTCTGCCATAGTACTTCTTTTTGTCATTTTGAATGCATTAACAGCAGTGGTCAGGGGTCAGTCCCTGTGGGTTTTTTTCCATGTCAGAAGCGACTTGAGAAATTGCAAGTTGCTTCTCGTGTGAGAGAATTGGCCATCTGCAAGGACATTGCCCAGAGGATGCCCGGATGATGGATGTTTTACCATCCTATGGGAGGCTTCTCTCATGGCCCCGGAATAAGAAGCTTGAGCTTGTCAGACAGGAGCTCATCCTGTTCCCCAGATTCGAACCACCAACCTGTCGGTCAACCAGTCCTGCTGGCACAAAGGTTTAACCCATTGCACCACCAAGGGCTCCAGTCCCTGAGGTGGCTTTGACATTTCCCCTCTCCACAGAATGACCTACTTATGCACAGGTCACATCAAAATTCATAATTTTGACCTCCAAACCTTAACATATCCCTAATCATGCCACAATCATGTCTTCAGACACACTCATCAGGTCTCCATCAATGAGTTGCAGCTAACTTGAGAAGTGTATCTCACAGACTTCTCAAAAGCTGCCAATCCTCAGGCCTGGCTAACATGGCGAATGGGGAGGGATCGCAGGTGTTGAAGTCCAAAGGTCTAGAGGCCACCAGGTTAAGGGAGGCTGGTAAACTCTGTGGGAAACCCAAAGTGGCTATTGTGTGATGTGTCAAACAGACCTGTGAGGCTTATTTGTAAAAGCTATTACTTCCTTCAGGGCAAATCGAGCTTAGACATAACACCCAGCAATTTATGTTTCCTCTAAGGAAATCATCCCGTCTGCTCTGATTTAACTCATCCCTGTTTAATCAGAAGTAATTATCTCCTGTATTCCAAGACAGAATAATCCCAGAATTGTCGGAGGCCACAAAAGGAGGAGTTGGGCTACAGATGGCCTTTTGCACTCTGCTTCTTTCGGTTTTTACAACATTGTTCATAGTATATAGTGTTCTGAATCCATTTCATATTAGAAACAAATCCTTCAGGTGTGGTCTCATTACAGAGATGCTCAATCTGTGGGTGAACTCTAATACCTCATACAGCAGGTGAAGGCTTGCATGATCAAATACAGGTCAATCTAGAAGCAAAATTTCTTCATAGCAAACTCATCCGTTCAGCAGAAGGACTCATCTGCCTGACACTACGCTTTATTTCCTGGGAAGGAATAGTCGGCTATGTTGTCCCAATCTGATTTCCGAAGTACTTTAACATCTCATTGAGACCATTTGGCTTCAAACAATCCAATTCATCATGCAATTCTGACGTATATATGTGTCATTCTGGAGGTTTGGAAAAGTTAGAAAGGATTTTCTACCTTTGTATAGTGGCTGCTGCCACCTGCTGTCCTCTGTCTCATTCCTAGTGTTCTTTTTTTAAAATCTTGCCATTCCATTCCCTTCTTGTGATGACATAAACCAGTTGGCGCCTGTTGCCCGTGTTCCTTTTTCGCCTTTGCCTCATTCCCCAGTCACTCCCTTTATACCTCCCACGCAATAGTTTTCTTCTCTGTTTCCTTGTCTGCAGAAGTCAGAACAACTCTATCATGGTGGTAGCTCTTAACTAACGTGTGAAACAATACACCAGAAGATTTAGGGAAGAATGAGGGTAACGGAAACATGTTCCCCACTAAAAAAAGGCCATGTATTTAGGCCCTTCTGACATGGGTTAGTTTGAAAAAAAAAACACTGAAAAGATTTGCATGGTGACCAAAGTACTGGCAACTTCCTACAGCTGGGGACTAATTTAGTGACTAAACCGGGAACCAGATTCTTTCCCCAAGGCAGCAGCTGCTTTTAGAAGAATTTCGTTGAGACACAGATATAGGAGAGCCAATGCACCAGACCAGCCTCCTCTTGGAAACCCAGGGCCCTTCCAACCAGCCCTATATCCCAGAATGTCAAGACAAGTAAATCTTGCCAAGTAAACCCTGTAATAGGGTCACTATAAGTAGTGAATGACTTGAAGGCAGACAATAACAATATTATTTTGTGCTCCTTAAGGTGTAAAACATTGAAGGACTTCATCACCTGAAGGTCCTTAAGGCAGGGGACAGCAAGGGCATCTTTGGGGCAGCAGGGTGAATCTGTGGAGCAGTAGGGTAAACCATCAGGCAGTACCTCAAATCGACCCCTTAATATCACATGTGGAACCCCTTCTATCCTCAGCTTATTCTATGAGAATAAGGGTCATTTCATTTAAAACAGATAATGGGTGTAGCAACACTGTTTTTTTTCTTATAGTCTGATCCCATTTTAACTGTCTTAGCACCTGGCCTACCGAATCCTAAGATTTGTAGTGTGATGTCAGTACTTAGTTAGGGTGACCTTATGTTCACCTTTTCCCTGACTTGTTCTTTTTTTCAAAGATAAAATTTCTATGCAGCGGAAAGGGGGGAGGCTTTTTCCAATGGGTGTTTTTTTACAATTCCCACAGTAGAGCTCTCTAACAGAATTCTCTCCCAAAAACCTATCTTAGGGCCCTTCCACACTGCCCTATATCCCAGAATATCAAGGCAGAAAATCCCACATTATCTGAGTGTGGACTCAGATAATCCAGTTCAAAGTACCTTGATATTCTGGGATACAGGGATGTGTAGAAGGGCCCTCAGAGCTTGCATCAGCAGAGATATCATAGTAATGTAACTGCTATTTTGATGTTGCACATGTTTTGAGGTTGCACGACCATTGTCTGAAATTGCCCAGACACAGTTTATACCTTCAACCCCCAAATGGCCACTGATTGTTCTTGAAAGATGGCCCACTGCTTCTGTCAGAGATTGTACTCAGGACTTCATCATATGTGTCTTCAGCAGCATTTCAGGATGCTTTCACCCCAGTTAATCCACAGAGCCCATCATATGACGCATGCTCACTTCTGGCAGGGCTCTGTGCATCAATTGGGGTGAAAGTGTCCCATGACACTGCACCCTGAACAAGGGAGGCTTCCCATGCTCAGTTGTAAACAATGGAGCCAATGCTGGGGGAAGTTGCGTTTAGATGCTTCCCCACATGTGATAGGAACACGTAGCTGCATGTGAGGTGGTGTGTGGGGCACCAGGATTGTACCACTGCCCTGCTGATTCATCACAGAGGCTTGTAAATCATTCTGCACAACCTCATCAATGTGAGGTTGTAAATCACTGGCTGAAGCCTACTTCTGGTCCTTATAATGGCTGCCTCATGTTGAACCATTCCTCTCCTTGATTGCAAGGAGCTCTCCCCAGTAAACAAGGTAAGGTACAGCTTGGCTGAATTTGTCTCAGACTGGCTGGACCATGCAGATTGTGCTCCACCACTGCTGCAAATTGGGAACAGAGTGTGTGGCTCCAAGGCTTCTAGACTATTCCCGACTGGCTTCTGCAACAAGTGGCCAATGTAGCTGGATAACCCCACTCCCTGCTTGTGAGGAAGGGTGCCTCAGATTATGCTGGCATGTGACACCCACAAAAGCTACTTGGAATCTCTGTGGCTATCTAGCAATGACAACACAGGCTCAGTTCATTCCCTTTTCTATGTGCTGATGAGCACAGGGAAAAAGAGGATTGATGGTGGTTGCCTGGTCATTCTGTCCACACTGTGCCCAAACTGCAGGGTTGCTCTGGAATTTCAGCCAAACTCTGAAGTACTCCCTGGCTTTCCTTCACGTGGGTTTATCTGGTTTATCTTGCAATAAGAACTGGAAGTTTCGGAGGTCATGAAAACAGTCAGGATCGACGTCATGGTTGATATGAGCTAGTCAGCCCACATCAACAATCCTTAGGTCTGAAGCGGAATGGTAGGGATGGATCTCATCTATGAAATTCTGTGAAGTCAAAAGAATATATTTTGCAAATCTTAAGGAACTGCCTTTATGTTTATACATGGATATCTTGATGGTAGTTATAGTGGACATCATTCCTAAATTTGAGGTGCAAGGGGTGTATGTAAGGACCCCAGAGAATTTGCTTCCTTCACCTATGGATTAGATTTCATGCTCTGCTTTGCTCTTCTCACAGGCTGCCAGCCAGGATTCTATCGTCACTCACTGGAAACTGAGCAGTGCCTCAAATGCCCACCCAACAGCTTTTCCAGTTCTCCTGCAGCCACAGCGTGCCCCTGCCACAAGGGTTTCTTCCGGACATCCACTGAGGATGAAACTATTGCCTGTACACGTAAGTCCTAGATGAAAGGACAGGATATACACAGAAGGGAATTTGGCTCTTTGGAGTGTGAAGACCCTTTTATGTCCTGAAAAAAAAAAACTTTCGGGAAGTAAAGCTTGGAATTTTGGGGATTTTGGCTCATAAAGCTACATTTGTACAACAGTTTTTCTCCAACCACAAGATGGTGTCTTGGTTCCTTTTTACTTTTTCTGCAAACAGACCTTGGGTCCTTCCATACAGCCCTATATCTCAGAATATCAAGGCAGGAAATCCCACATTATCTGAGTGTGGACTCAGGGTCCTTCCAGACACCCATATATCCCAGAATATCAAGGCAGAAAATCCAAGACTAACTGGGTTTTCTGAGTCCACACTCAGATAATGTGGGATTTTCTGTGTTGATATTCTGGGATATAGGGCTGTATGGAAGGGCACCAAGATAACCCAATTGAAAGCAGATATTGTGGGATTTCTTGCCTTGATGGGATATAGGGCTGTGTGGAAGGCCCCCCAGTGAGAGAGAAAGAGTAGCTGAAAGGGACTACCTCAGTGACTTTAATAGTGAAAACATTGTATTATTGCTTGAATCTGTCCATTGTAGCCTCCCATGCCATGAAAGTGTTATGAAGGTGATATGAAGGCTGACCAGTGGTTGTTTTGGTTTTGGCAAGGGAGGGCTGCACTGTGGTACCACTTAGCAAAATCATTTTGTATACATCATATTTCTGCAGTGCTGGGGAAATTTTTTTTCCAGTATAACCACCACCCCACTAGTGGAAAGCTTCCAACCTCAGTGATTTAAATGGCATTGATGTCATATTGGACCTCATCACATAGAGGTCCATAAGCCAGGGAACAGTGGTGGAATCCATCAGGCAGCAGGGTGAATCCATCAGGCAGTGGGGGAAACCACTGGGTAGCATCCTGCATTGCCTCCTTACCATCTTATGCCATTTCCCGTCTGTCTTTAGCTTGGCCCTGCACTGTCCCCAGCTTAGTCTATGAGAACATGGGTGGTTACCCATGTTCTCAGGGCTTCCACTTAGCATGCTGTCAAGCACATTGTAAACAGGCCCAGGACAGAGCCCCATTGGAAGTAGCCTTGCGTCATGTGATATGCTCCAGCGGGCTCCGTCCTAGCTGTGTCTTGGTTGCATCCTAAAACAGGCAAAAAGCCCAATGTGATGAGGTCCATTGTGTAGGTACGTGCCTAATTCAATGCTTTGCTCAATCCTTTCTTTTTCTGGCAGAGGATAACATAATCCATATATATATTGGAATGCCCTAGGCACATTCTGTCTATTTCTCAAGTCACTTCTGATGTGATAAAAAACCTATCATGTAGAGAGTTGGAGGTTTATAGGTTTTAAAAATAGGTTTTTTTAGTTGTAGATTAGTTATAGTTGATAGTATGTAGTTGTGCAATTTGGAGAGTTTTTTTATATCTAAAATGTTTGTGTTTTTTATTTTGTCTCTTCCTTGAATAAAAATTATTATTAAAAATAAAGTGTTGGTAGGACTAACGTGTTTTGAATTCACTTTGGAGGAATTATACTGTAAGCAGCAATGTACTCTCTCGTTTGCCTTTGCAGGTCCTCCTTCTGCCCCACACAATGTTACCTCCTCCCTTGTGGGGAGCCAAGTCTCCCTTTCATGGCAACCACCCATCGATCAGGGTGGGCGCAGCGATCTCTCCTACAACATCTCCTGCAAACGCTGCAACTTCCTGGTGTGTGAACCCTGCGGGAGTGAGGTGGTTTTTTCTCCTCGTGCCTTAGGCCTCACTAGAACAAATGTGGTTGTCGATGGCTTGGAGTCTTACACCAATTACAGCTTCACTGTACGGGCTCATAATGGTGTGTCAGGACTTAGCTCTGCCTCACACAAAAGTACCAGTTCTCCCATCTGGGTGACTGTGGGCTATGCAGGTGAGTCACTGGGGTGAACCCGGAAAAGGGATTTTTTCAGCTTATGGAAGTAAGCAACCAAAGCAAATAAAAGTCTTAGTAATACCTGCACTTTCATTTTCCCTTGTTGTGTGCCTTTATGTGTTTTCTGGCTTATGGCACCTCTAAGGGGGACATTTCATGAGCAAGATTTCTTCTGAGTAGGCTTGCCCCTGCCTTCCTTTGAGGCTGACAGAGTGTGACTTGCCCAAGGTCATCCAGTGGGTATCCATGGATGAACAATGATTGAGCCCTGGACTTCGAAATCCTAGTCCAACACCCAAACCACTATACAATGTGGCTCTATATTATTGTATATGCCACCTTTATTGACTAAATGCAGCCAAGTCTTTATGTGTGTGTGTACATATAGTCAAGTTGGTATTATTATTGGTATTATTAGACAATTCTTGTGCATAATATCAGAGATAGTGGTGAGAGACTACATATAATCTTGGCTAAGAATATGGATCTCTATGTCAAATCTTAAGTCAGGGGTACCCAAATTAAGGCCCGGGGGCCGGATATGGCCCTCCAAGGTCACTTACCTGGTCCTCACTCAGGGTCAACCTTAATCTGAAATGACTTGAAAGCACACAACAACAACAACAACAACAATCCTATCTCATCAGCCAAAAGCAGGCCCACACTTCCCATTGAAATACTAATAAGTTTATATTTGTTAAAATTGTTCTTCATTTTAATTATTGTATTGTATTGTTAAGTGTTTTTTGTACTACAAATAAGATATGTGCAGTGTGCATAAGAATTCATTCATTTTTTTTCCAAATTATAATCCAGCCCTCCAACAGTTTGAGGGACTGTGACCTGGCCCTCTGTTTAAAAAGTTTGAGGACCCCTGTCTTAAGTCAACCACATGAAGCCCTAAATCAGTGGTTCTCACCCTTTGGGTGCCCAGATGTTTGGGCCTACAACTCCCAGAAATCCCAGCCAGTTTACCAGCTGTTAAGATTTCTGGGAGTTGAAGGCCAAAACATCTGGGGGCCTCACAGGTTAAGACCCACTGTTCTAAAGCAACTGTTTAGGGCTCCAGTTTCCATCAACCCCAGTATACATGACCAGTGGACTATAGTACTACAACCAGGGAATCATGGGAGACTCCAGCCTTCCCCGAGAGTAATCCTCTCTCTGTCAGCCCCTTCTTGTCATCTCATCTCTACTGCCATATAGCACAAGCTTCCTGGAGTGCCATACAAGGTCACTGTAAAGATGAAGGTTGCATGTGGATGTAGGTTAGCATAGGCTGCCTGTGTCCCTTGACACCCCAAAGTGTGGCCCCTGAAATCCTCCCAAAACTCCAGAACCCCATGTTTTAAAAGTGCAGACTCATGGAGGATTTTTTTCTCCATGAACCAAGCCAAACTGATGTCATAAAAACCAGTCATAGATGTGACACTTTACTTCCCCACTTCACAGCCACCCCATCTTCCCTCAAATCCCCTCAAGTCCCCAAATTTGTCAAAATGCTGGTTAGAAATTTTGCTGAATTGAACTTGCAAGAGGGAAACTGTGGAAAAACAGTCATTTCTCTATTTGTAGTTGCTCATTCCTTGCATCACTAATGGAGGAGTTACATAAAACATGAGAGCATTCCTTTGGGGAATTTTTCTGTCATTAGCGACATCATATTTTCAGGACATTTAAATGCTAGTAACTTGTGAAGAGGGGAAGGTGCAGTTCTGCAACAGGTTAGTAACATTTAAATGTTCTGAGAGCATGATATCTTTGATGACAGAAAGATGTCATGTGGAGCGAACCTACGATGATAAGCCAGTCTGAAGATGAATTCAAATTCAGGGGAAGCCATCTGTCCTTAAATTAAATGCAAAAATCCTTGATACAAGAACGTTGGCGTGCTAAATTGCAGTGGCATTTACTGCTTAATTGTATTAACTTGATGGGGGTGAGGATGTAGTGATGATGACAGAAAAGCCCTTGGACTTCTTTTGCATCACCATTTCAGGCAACAGCAGCAGCATCCTAGTTGCTCATTAAAGTCCTGTGTTGGGTGTTGTAATCTATCATTTATTTTAACTTAATCCAACATAAGTGTTTCCTTACACCCTGCTATGCTTTTCCCACCCCAACACTGTCCCAAACCTGCAAAGCCCTCATCATGGGGGCCTTCATGGGAGAGAATTAGGAGCTGTTGACACTGCAGCAAAATCTTTCTTAGCATTATGATTCCATGTTGCCATGCTAAGGCTGGGGAATGTTCTTTTTGGTTGCAAGGGATTTGCTTCTTGTGCTTGAAATATTGGCTTATAAAGAAATCCAGTCTTTTGGAGCAGGCAGTGGTGCTCAACCTTCCTAATGCCGCCAACACTTTCTGCAGTTACTCATGTTGTAGTGACTCCCAAACATAAAAGTATTTTTGTTGCTACTTCATAACTGTAATTTTGATACTGTTATGAATTGTAGTGTAAATATCTGATATACAGGATGTATTTTCATTTACTGAACCAAATTTGGCACAAACACCCGATATGCACAAATTTGAATATTGGTGGGGTTGGGAGAGGATTGATTTTGTCATTTGGGAGTTGTAGTTGCTGGGATTTATAGTCATCCTACAATCAAAGAGCATTCTGAACTCCACCAATGATGGAATTGAACCAAGCTTGGCTCACAGAACTTCCACGACCAACAGAAAATACTGGAAGGGCATTGACCTTGAGTTTTGGAGTTCTAGTTCATCTACATCCAGAGAGCACTGTGGATTCAAACAATGATAGGTCTGGACCAAACTTGGCACAAATTCTCAATATGCCCAAATGTGAATACTGGTGGAGTTTGGGGGAAATAGATGTTGACATTTGTGAGTTGTTGTTGCTAGGATTTATAGTTCATCTACAATCAAATAGCCCCTTGAACCCCACCAATGATAGATTTGGCCCAGACTTCCCACAAAGAACCCCCATGCCTTGGTGTGAGTGTCCCTCCAGTCTCATCCTCCCTCCAGTCTCACTCACTCTCCCTCACCCTTGCATGTGCACCATGCTGCTATGCACTGAGCATGCCTGCTCTCCCCTCCCCTTTTAAAGTCTCAGAAACAACCCTTTGCTTGCCTGAGAGGCTAGCCAATCACAGGAGAGAAGGGCTTTTGGTGGGAGGGTTTGCTGTCTGTTTCCAAAAAGGAAGAAAAGGGCAGGCAGAGAGATCTTCAGCCTTCCCTATCCAAGGGCTTCCTAAGACCATCAGAAAAATGTGTTTTCTGATGGCCTTTGGCCACCCCTCTGAAATCCCCTGGTGACCCTCCCCCCCGGGGTATTGGCCTAAGGCAAGCTGAAGTACCAAGAAGGCTGTGTTCCAGCCATTGATGCTGTCGTTATATGTCCTATGACTATGTTATAAAAGCACTTGAATACAAAGCTCTGTAATTTTTACAGAAGGTCTGTGAGGACATGTTAAATATTTAAAGGGATGTCATGTAGAAGATGGAGCAAACTTGTTTTCTACTGCTCCAGAGACTAAAATGGGAACCAATGGATTCAAAGTGCAAGGAAAGTGATTAGGAAGACATTCCTGCAGTAAAGGCTCTTGAACAATAAAATAGACTGCTTCAAAAGATGGTTGGAACCTCCTTCTTTGGAGGCCTTTATTCAAAGAGTGAATGGCCATCTCTCAGGGGTACTTTAGCTGTGCATTCCTACCTTGGCTGATGTTGAACTAGGTTAATCTTGGGATCCCTTTCAATGCTATGATTCTATGTATTTCTAATGCCAATGAAGCTCTGAGTTTAAAACAATTCCACAACAGTGATGGAAAATTTTATACAGTAAACACACACACCTTTCTCTTTTCTGCCTCCTTGTGTCAGGTGGTGAGTAGTATTCCAACAAGGCCCTTACTTAGCCTGCCTATGGCATTTTCCAGCTTTCTAGTCCCACCTCTTGCCTTTTCATGGGAACAGGTTGCCTCTCTTACTGATTCTTCTCTCCAAACAAGACCATCCAGTCTTTATCATGTTTGTATCCCATTTTTCTTCCGGGACCCATGGGCATTCCTGTTTTATTAACACAGCTTCCCATTCTGGTAGGTCAGGCGAAGAGAAGTTTAATGTGAGGCTAACAATAAAATAACATCATTCTGTTTCAAGAAACGTAATGAAAACTACTAAACAGTTTGTTCAGATAAAGAATGTAAAAGTATGGCCTGATCAGTTAAAACTAAAATTAGCAAATTTGCTGGTTGTTTTATTTTAAAACATGGAAAGTGACAAGGTTTTTAAAGCATTTCATTTTGTCTTCTCACTTTAAAGTGGATGCAATTAGTCAATGTAGAGACTCTTCCTCAGCATATTTAATCCAAAGTAAGCCGCACTGATTCATTAGGGCAGGGGTCCTCAAACTTTTTAAACAGAGGGCCAGGTCACAGTCCCTCAAACAGTTGGAGGGCTTGATTATAATTTGAAAAAAACATGAATGAATTCCTATGCGCACTGCACATATCTTATCTGTAGTACAAAAAAAACACTTTAAAACAATACAATAATTAAAATGAAGAACAATTTTATCAAATATGAACTTATTAATATTTCAATGGGAAGTGTGGGCCTGCTTTTAGGTGATGAGATAGGACTGTTGTTGTGTGTTTTCAAGTCGTTACAGACTTAAGTCGACCCTGAGCAAGGGCTGAGTAAATGACCTTGGAGAGCCATATCCAACCTCAGGCCATAGTTTGAGGACCCCTGCATTAGGTAACCAAATAAGTGTCCACTGTAACTGGAAACTTCAACATAAGTAAAGTTTGAATTTGGAACTTTTTATTAGACTGATTTGGAGTCAAAAAAAGTATATTTTTTCAGGTTTGGAGATGAAATAAGAGTAAGAGTCAGTGCTCTGAAGGACATGAGCCGTAGTCAAAGGGCTATATCACAACAAAGAAAGCAGTGAAAATGGCTCTGATATTGGAATGGTCTGTCCATCACTGGTCCTTGGCTGCAAGGATGGACAGTTATTTCTTGAAGATGCTTTAGATGTAGACCTCTTGCACTGAACAAGGGAATGAACTGGAATTACAAGCCTGTCATTCTATGGTTCTGTTGTCATTTTGTATACTATACAACATAGAGTTGGAAGCTGTAGAACCAGGAGTGGGCCTAAGACAGAAAACCCAAATGCTTCATCTCCTTCTTCTCCTTCTGCTTCTCCTTCTCCCCACTCAATTCACCACATAGGCACAGTGACATTCTTCATCTGCTAAATATGCCTGCCTATGGTTGAATATGTGTTGTTATCTCAGCTAGCTGGGGAAGGAAGTCTATTGGAGGAGAAAGGGATACAGAGATAATGCTGACATATAGTGGGCCATGTGTAAGATGAGTCTGTCTTGCATTCCAGTGCCTTTATGGCATTCAAAATTTGTCATTTGAAACAGCTGCCTCCCCTGGTCCTCTGGTTATTGTAGAATTTTAAAGCCAATTCAGCCAGGGTTGCACTGTTTGGGCATAGGCAGGAAAAGCAAATAAATGCATGGTTTTGTACGAGAATATGACAATTGAATACATTACTTCCAAAAAGCATCTCATACTTTGACTAATTCTCCCCTCCCTGCTTCACTTTTTAAATCTGCAGATCCTATCATAGTGACAAATATCAACCTGGACAGTCAGAATGAGAGCAGCCTCTCTGTGACTTGGCTACCAACTCGTCATCGAAGTCACATCCCCATCAGCTATGAAGTCATGTACTTTGAGAAGGTGAGGTGTTTATTGCTTGCAAGTGCCACAAAATGTTCCTCTTAGGCTGGATCTATACTGCCATAGAATCCAGTTTCTGAGTCCAGATTATCTGCTTTGGAATGGATAATATGGGTGTACACTGCCATATAATCTAATTGAAAGTAGATAATCTGGATTCAGAAACTGGATTATATGGCAGTGAGTGATCCCTGGTCAAAGTGGTCCCTGTTCAAGTGGTCCCTGGTCAACTGGTCCCTGGTCAAAGTGGTCCTTGGTAAAAAAAAAAAAAGGTTGGGAACCACTGGTCTACACTGCCATATAATCTAGTTCAAAGTAGATAATCTGGATTCAGAAACTGGATTATATGGCAGTGTAGATCAGTGGTTCCCAAACTTTTTTTAACCAAGGAGCACTTTGACCAGGGACCAGTTGACCAGGGACCACTTTGACTAGGGATCACTCACCAACATTGGTACCAAAAGGGTTACGAATCAGTTTTTGGTCAACTTTAGATTCAGTTTGGTTATTAGGGGTGCTGATTCAGAAAATTGCATTGGATAGACCACATCAGCTCTAGTTTCTAATACAGAACATATGCCATTCAGTAGTTACCACCTGCTCACCCACAGAAACCCGTATTTAATAATCTAGCACTGATTTGGTAGTAGTGATCTTTCATGGGTAGTCAACCTCTCCCCTCCTGACATCCCCGTTGCCTCGGCACTATAAGAGGGTTTCATGCATGGTTTCAAGGCAATGGTGTAGTAATGGTGAGGCCATGGATCATATTTTCATTCTTGTAGACCACTGGTGGTTCACGAACCACAGGTTGGGAACCACTGGTGTAGCCTTAACTTTCCCTGATTTGTCCAAATCTTGGAAGCTGACTCAACTGTTTAATTTTGACAGGGAGAGGAGAAGCACTACACTGTCCAACATCTCAAGGAACCCAAAGTGACCTTGGGAAACCTGCAGCCCGACACATCCTACCTGCTGCGTGTGCGCTCCGTCACACCATCCGGAGAAGGGCCATTTTCCCAGGAGCAGGAATTCCGCACTCTTCCCCAAGGTAGGCCTCTCAGGATGGGGTGGAGTAGTGAGCAATCCAGACTGGGAGTTTGTTACAGAGCAGATGGAAATTTGCCTGTATGCTGTTTATCCATCTTGAATTATATGCAAAGAAGGGTGAGCCCAAAAACATCAATACATATATCCGTGTATGTTTGTATCTTGGCCTGGCAACATCAGATCATCCCATGAACTCTGCAGGATTTTATTAGGCAAGAAACATTCAGAAGTGGTTGTACCAATTCCTTCCTCTGAAATGTAGCCTACAGCTCCAGGTATTCCTTGGTGGGCTCCCATCAAAGTGCTAACCAGTGCTGATCCTATTTAATTTCTAAGATCAGACAGGATCTGGTGACAATCGCATATTTAGGCCCTCATATATAATACATATGTGTAATTTCTTAGTGTAAAGTGATCCTTTTCTGTTACTGCTGTTTATAGTAGCAGAAAGAACATACGTATGTTCACAAGTCTTTTGGAAATAGTCTAAGTAAAATATGGCTAGGCTGTGTTACAGAAGATTGTGTTGAAGGACAAAATAAAATTACCAGGAAATAAACAAGCAGATAAAAAGTGCTCACATGAATGGAATGATTCCATGCCTTTATTGCAGAAGTAAAACAGAATGCAGTTGCCATTCCTTTTTTTAGTTAAGACTATACATAGCAGCCATATTTGCAGCTGACATCTATCCTGGTGTTACACCAGCTAGTTTCTTTCAATAAAATCTAAAAGATGTGTGCCTTAAAGCACCTTGGAGATGCACACCAGGTTTTTTGTGGGTTTTGGATGCCTGCCTCCTGCAAGTTTGGGCTGTTCACAGTTTTTCACACTGTATATTTTTCCTTGACAAATACAAATGCAACAGTCTGTGCCAAATGCAAGGTCAGCAGAGACATTTGGGAATCAGGAACAGAGGAAACTGCCAACTGTGGTTTCAAAGAAAGGAAGAAAGAAAGAAAGAAAGAAAGAAAGAAAGAAAGAAAGAAAGAAAGAAAGAAAGAAGAAAATCACCCATGCAACAATCTGTGTTATTTAGAGTTGGAATTTGGCTAAACCATCTACTTACAAGTAGTTCTCAAGGCATTTTAAATATCGTATTTTTGATATACATTTATATGTTGAACATACACTTCATAACTGTCTATCTCTACCAGTCTTTCTAATGTCCTTATAGCTAAGGTGCTGTTATTGACAATAGGAGGGAAAGGACATGCCCCCAAGGCTTTGTGTTGGGCTTTTAATATTATCACAGTGGAGACAACTGGCTGTAACTTTTCTGAGATCTGCTTGTTCACATGTATATCATTTGGAACAGTGGTTTTCAAACTGTGGATCTCCAGATGTTTTGATCTTCAACTGTCAGAAATTCTAACAGATGGTAAACTGGAGGGAATTTTAAGAGTTGTAGGCCAAAACTCCTGAGGACCCACAGGTTGAGAACCAGTGATCAAGAGGTTCTTATGTTTGCATTGCTGAGTTCTAGTTCACTTAGAATCTTGAAACACAGAATGTGATTCACAGAAGCCAAAGTCCTTACTCTGAGTACAGGAGGTTGTGAGTCGTGTATCAACATATGCTGGGTTTTATGCACCAAGAGCTCTTCCACATTTCTGCAGAAGTAGGTCACACTGCCCCTTATATAGTGATTAAATGTGCTTTCACACATGGGCATAAACAGAGCTATCCTGGAAGGATAGCATTCCGAACGTATATCTCGTTATGAACCATCTAGGACATAAAGATCTTCTGGGGAGACCCTGCTCTCGGTCCTGCCTTCCTCACAGATGCATCTGGTGGGGACGAGAGATAGGGCCTTCTCAGGGGTGGCCCCTCGACTGTTGAACGCCCTGCCTAGAGATATAAGATCAGCACCCTCCCTCCTGACTTTTCGAAGAAAGGTGAAAACTTGGCTTTTTGAGCAGGCCTTCCTAAATAAGGCATAGTTATATGAAATCATGGAACTACTTGATGACGCAATTGAAAAATGACTTGACATGGAGATGCTCACAGCAATGTTTTAAGGCTTTGTACGGTTTTATATTTTTATATTGTATGTTAATGTTTCTAATAGTATTTTATGATTGTTTTTTTACTTGTTATAATTGTTGAAGCATCGAATTGTCAGTTGTGAACTGCTCCAAGTCACCTCTGGGCTGAGAAGGGCAGTATATAAATATGGTAAATAAATAATAATAAATAAAGGGTATCTGTAACCTGTTCTTTCTACTTTCAGATACTGGAATGCCTTCTGGAGGAACGATTGTCTGCATTATCTTTGGAATCCTTTTGTTTATTGGTCTGGTTGGAGGAATCATCATTTTCCGACGAAGGTAGAGATAGCAGTTTACAAGAGTTGAGACAATATAGAAGTGGATTTGATAGCAGGTTCTCCTGATACTGGTGTGTTGCAAGGTCACTGCCTTCATACTCATATTTATTCTTGTTCCTTTCAGGCAAGCACATCGTCGAGCCCGGCCATGCCAAAAGCACTCCGGCTACAACCGAGGTAAGGTTCTGAACTCAAAGAATGGCAAAGGAGCAGTCAACTGTCTTAGGCAGTTGAAACAATATGTTGCCTGCAAATAAAGCTAGAAGGTCCTTGGGAATAGCAAAACCCTCCCCTGTGCTTGGATAAATGAGAGGTTTACACTTTCCCAACTGCTGCCTTTTCTCCTCTGAACTGTGTTCTCTCAAAGAAAATATGCTCTCTCTTTGCAAACAGAAATACATATTGAAGATGTAACCCAAAAAAGGGCAGGAGAGTTGGTAAAGTACAATGGACAGTGCCACTTGGCTCAACCATAGCCACATCTGCTTTCTCAAACTCCTACCATTATGGTCACAGGTTGTTTGGATCTTTCATCTGCAGCAAAATGATCAAAAATTGAGTAGTCAGTCTATTTCATAATTCAATACCAACTATCAAATACAGATAGTCCCCAAGTTGTACACATCCAATGTGCATCCAACTTCTAGTTACAAAGAGAGGACACATGGGACACAACAGGAAATGAGAGGAAATCTACCTCTCAGGAAGGAAAATTCATTCCTGGGGGAATCATCATGGGAAAATGGTGTCTCCACTGAAGCTTTATCTACAATCCTTGTTTCCGTGACAAAAATTTCAAAATCCAATTGTCATAGGGACAAAAAGTGAAGTGAAATCTTCTGAATAGGGATATGGACAGCAAAGCAAACATTACAGAGGTATTGTCAAAGGCTTTCATGGTCAGACTGACTGGGTTGTTGCAAGTTTTTTGGGCTGTATGTTCTAAAAGCATTCTTTCCTGACGTTTTGCCTGCATCTATGGCAGGCATCCTCAGAGGTTGTAAGGTCTGTTGGAAACTAGGAAAATTGGGTTTATATATCTGTGGAAAGTCCAGGATGGGAGAAAGAACTCTTGTCTGTTGGCGATAGGTGTGAATGTTCCAATTCGCCACCTTGATTAGCATTTAATGGCCTAGCATTATAGGGGTGTTAACCCCTCCCTATACTATCCAAAACAAACAAAAAATTGGCTGGAGTTACACTAAAAATGTACCTATTATGAATTACATGTTTGTGACACAGGGACGGCTGCCAATACTAGGCAGGAGTGGGAAGGTTGGTGTGCTGAAATTGAAGGATTTTTCTTTAAAATTGTTATGTTGCTGATCCTTAACCAGAAAAATGATGGTAGTAGTTTACCAAAAGAGACACTGGTTGAAATGAAAGAGATCATCCTAATTCAGTGTGAAAAATGCAAATTCTTAAATATAATTAATCTAGTACATTTAAATAAATATAGTAATGAAATTATGTCAAACGGGAATGTATTGTATTGTATTGGTTTTATTGTGAGCCACTTTGAGACTTTTTAGAGATGATGATGATGATGATGATATTTACAATAATAATATGTAATTTTGAAACGTTAAATACTAGATAACTACTAGCCATTCTGAGCCCCCAGTAGTGCAGCGGGTTAAACAGCTGAGCTGCTGAACTCGCTGATCCAAAGGTCGGCAGTTCGTATCCGGGGAGCAAAGTGAGCTCCCACTGTTAGCCCCAGCTTCTGCCAACCTAGCAGCTCAAAAACATGCAAATGTGAGTAGATCAATAGGTACCACTTCAGTGGGAAGGTAACGGCACTCTGTGCAGTCATGCCAGCCACATGACCTTGGAAGCATCTATGAACAATGTCAGCTCTTCGGCTTAGAAATTGAGATGAACACCACCCCCCAGAGTCAGACATGATTAGACTTAAGGTCACGGGGAAACATTAACTAGCCATTCCAGTGCATTTAAGGTCGTTCTACTGGACAGTAGAAACAACTGAGTAAATTATTATCTATACACATTCCTTACATAGAAATTCTAAAGACTTAACAAATAATAATAAAAGTTGCATGTTTTGGAAAGATGCCTGGATCTTGCCAATTATTGCAGTGAATTGACTTTGTCTCTAATATGATCTGGACCAGGATTTGGGTTTTTTTCTTGTTTTGTCAATGGAGCCAACAAACTTTTCTTCCTCATCAAAATCTTTGTGCTCAAAATCCTTTATACCCATTTCATTGCAGATGATATCTGGCTAAAACCTTATGTAGACCTGCAGCCCTATGAAGATCCCAGCAGGGGAGTCCTGGAGTTCACGAAAGAGCTAGACCCATCCCTTGTCAACATTGAAAACGTTATTGGTGAAGGTGGGTACCATTAGGCATTAGCATCTCTGTCTCAGGAAATTCCACGTCTCCATTTTTATGCATACGTTGTCTTTCCTTTTTAACTTCTACAGGAGAATTTGGGGAGGTTTATCGCGGGTCTCTGCGTTTCCCAGGAAAGGACCCTATTGTTGTGGCCATCAAGACATTGAAGTCAAGTTACTCAGATTCCACATGGTGGAACTTTCTACGTGAGGCAACAATAATGGGCCAGTTCAATCACCCCAACATTGTTCGCTTAGAAGGAGTTGTCACAAAACGTAAGAGCTCAATGGAGGCAATGTATTGACAAAATCTTGAAACACCAAGGGGCAAGCATTACTGGTATAAAATAGCATCATTTGGGCAGGATACAAACTTTACACACAGAGTGTCTTGAACAGTCAAAGGTATCTCAAGTTGCAGAGCTGGCAATAAGTCTCATCCATGAGAGGTGACCTTGGAGAAATACTGCTAAGGCAGAGTGTGTACCGCTAGGCTAGAAGGCCACATATTTTGATCCTATGACAAGTAGTTTCATTAGCATTATGTAACATGAGTTTTGTTCCTGAGTTATAAATGTCATTTCCTAATTGGTTCTGTGACAAAAACATGGAAAATGTTTATTAAACTGCAAAAACTTTTTTTTTGCGGGACATCCTGTGGCACATTTTGCTATAGTTTTTCAATGAATATTACATCGAATCTCAGCCAATTCAACATAGTTTGTGTCAGCCCCAAAGTGAAGTTTCTGGAGTATAACAACTGCTTTCAAAGTAAATACTGCATAATTAAACAGGAAATAATATTTTTAAACTAGGAACACATTTTTTTTCAAATTTTGTTACATTGTGTAATTCAAAAAAATGAACATTCCATTTAGATTAGGATAAAATTAAAGAGCTTAAAACAAAGAGAAAGGAAGACAGATGAGAGCCATATAAAGGAGGCAGAAATAATTTGTTTTTCCTCTGTATTTGTATTCTAGGAAACCCAATGATGATCATCACAGAATATATGGATAACGGGGCTCTGGATACCTTCTTACGGGTGAGAGGCTGCCTTTTGATTTGTTGCATAAATTTGTCAGCAATCTAGACTTAGTTTGCTCTGATCTGGAAAAGCCTAAAGGTGTCAGATCCTGTATGATCATGGAAGCTAAGCAGGTTTAGTACTTGTTGAGAAATCACCAATGAAAACCAGACGTTGTAAGCCAAGAATTGACTTCCACCCTGGTCTGGAGATTGTGAGATCATAGGTATAATTCCATCTCTTCTACTAGACTGCAAAGACAGAGGAAAGGACAATAACTCTCTTCCGCTATGGTCTCTATACTACATTATAGAGATTGTGAGTGGTATATTCAATTGATGTATTTACCTCTGTCTTTATACATTATAACCATAGTCTCAATTTGCATCTGACATGATAAATAAAGAAATACATCTGTCTTCGATTATCTTTTTTTTTAAAAAAAACTGTATTGAGAAGTAATTACATTTCCTGTTTCTCATTTTTTTAAAATCCCTTATTCCAATACCCCTGCCACAATATGCTATTCCACTGTTAACCTTTTTAGAGCTCAATCCTTGTTTAAAGCAATCTATCATCATAGTAAAATATGGAAAGGAAAGTTCATAGATGATATCTTTATATGTTGAGACTATCAGGCAAATCTAGCACATAGCACTCCTATTAAAGCAGGTCCACTTGCTGTCGATAAGTTTCTGGTCCCAATTCAAGTTGCAAGTTATGACCTACAAAGCCCTAAACAGTTTGGGCTCCACCTATCTTCGTGACTGCATCTCCCCTTATGAACCATCACGGCCTCTGAGATCCGCCAAGGAGGCCCTCCTCTCGCTCCCACCAACATCACAAGCATGGCAGGTGGGGATGAGAGAGAGGGCCTTCTCGGTGGTGGCCCCTGACTTTGGAACACCCTCCCCAGGAAGATGAGGCAGGCCCCTCCACTCTACTCCTTTTGTAGGGATCTGAAAACATGGATGTTCCAACAACCATTTGAGAATGACTAGTCTCTACTTATAAATGCCAAGTCCCTTGCTCGCTAGATAGTACTCTGTTCTCTGCACTTCTTCCAATCCCCCAACGCTATACTATGCTGTTTTGCACAATCCCAGGCCCTGTCCTCTTTATACCCTGATCATGCCCATCTTAGTATTTCTGGTTATTGGTTTTTGTTGTGTATTATTTGGGTGAGTTTTAATGCTTCTGTTTTATACCATTCTATTTTATTTAATGGTGCTTTATTGGATTTTTATGCTTTGCTGTGTTTTATTTTAATTGTTTGTTTTTTGGGTTTTTTGTTTTGTTTTGTTTTGTTTTTTGCTTTTAATGGATTTTTTTTTTTTGCTTTGATGTTCTGTGGACATTTTATCTCATGTGTAAACCACCAAGTCCCTTTGGAGAGATAAAGGTGGAGTATATAATAATAATAATAATAATAATAATAATAATAATAATAATAAGTCTATCAGCCATGTAGGATGGCTCATCAAGGGCTCTGTAAAAATCCCAGCTTTGCAGCCTGATTGTAAAAATGATAGACTTGTCAGTCCACATCCAGTGGTACCTTGCAGGACTCCCTTAGATGAAATAATTGGAAGGCTGATCGTTCAAACTTATGCATGAAAGAACTGGCAGTTCTTGGCAGACATTGTATTTGAATTTCTATTCTATAGGTGAAGACTCTTGACATGTTACAAACTAAAGCTTAAAACCCACAGAGTACAATAAGGAATAAAATAATATAAACATATTTTAAAACAAAAAAACTCTACACAAAATGAAGTCCAGCAACAGGGCAATATCTTTTTTGGGGGAAAAAATGAATAATTAAAAATCCAAGAGGTTAAAAAGATGAGACCATCTTTGGGTAGAGTATTCCACAGCTTAACTCCTCCTGCCTTCTGTACATCACCTGATTGATAGTGATTTCAAGATCCCTTTCTGAGCTTCTGAGCACAACCAGAAGCCTCATCTTTTGCCTCTTCTGTGCCTTTCAGGAGAACATGGACAAGTTTAGTGCCGTGCAAATAGTGACAATGCTGCAGGGCATTGCCTCAGGGATGACCTACCTGTCAGACCGCAACTACGTACACCGGGATCTGGCTGCTCGCAACATTCTGGTATCTCATAGCCATCAGTGCAAAGTGTCAGATTTTGGCCTTTCTAGGATATTGGAAAATGACGTGGAAGGAACTTATGAAACAAAGGTAATGAGGAAATAAGCCAAAGGGGTTTCTTCTTGCTGAAAATAACATTGTTGACAGGAACATATGGCAAGGGTTGGAAGGAAGGAAGGAAGGAAGGAAGGAAGGTAGGTTAGATGGAGATAGACTGAAAACCACATAAGTTTTATAAACAGACAGGCTCTTCAAGCATTTAAGAAGACCCCAATAGAAGACCCCCAACAGAAGACTGGTTTATTCACCAACTTGAAATGAGATTTTTTTTCTCCTGTTACATAGATCTTTTATGTATTGGAGAGGCATCCCATCTGTTTCTCTTTCTATATATATGAGAAATCTTTTTATAAGTAAGGATTGACATCAGTTTTGGAACTGTGAAGGCACCTTATACTGAGTGAAACTTAAAATGAGGTTTTTATCCCTCGTGTAGATTATCTTTCATATATTGGAGAAGCATCCCATCTGGTTCTCTTTCTATATATGTTTTAAATCTGCACGACTAGTATTTTTCTTGGTTTCAGCCTTTGAGATGTCTCATTCCTGATACATGAGATGCTGGAGCTTGAACCAGGCCTGTGCTTCAGCCATGTAGCCCCCCCCCCCCATCTATTGTAAGGACAGGCTTTGTCTCTCATAGTACTTGTGGAGGAAGCACAGCTTCTATGGTTCAGCCTTTGACCCATCCCTATTATTTTCTTCCCTGGGCATTTCTCATTATCAAAATTGTTGGACCTTTATGTAATTGGATTGAATCTGTTTTATCCTTGTGATTTGGAGAAATGTACTGCAGCATATATTGTCCCCCTAAAGGTATAAAACTCCATCTTGTTAGAACAGTTTGAGCAGCACTCAGAATCTAGTAGAAATCTTGCTAAAGTTTTCCTTGAGATATAGAAGACTTTTCGGCTTGTCCACCAGCATCCCAGCTGCTGAATAGGCAGCCAAGAGTTCCTTCTGTAAAATGTTGTGCATTTATTTACTAAGCAAAAAGTTTCCCTTGTTATTTTGTCACTAAATGTAAAAAAAGTCAAATAATTGCATTTCAGTTTGGATGGAAACAGCTTCCCCTAAGTTTGTAGGGGCCACGTAGACATTTCCTTTTCATTTGCAAGCTCTCTTTTCACAGGGTGGCAAGATCCCCATCCGCTGGACAGCTCCTGAAGCCATTGCCCATCGGATCTTTACCTCCGCCAGTGACGTCTGGAGTTTTGGCATTGTTATGTGGGAGGGGTTCTCATATGGTGACAAGCCATATGGAGATATGTCCAATCAGGAGGTGAGAAACTAAAAAGAAAGAGTGCCTGGAGCATTCGCACTGTCAGAGAAGGTCACCCAACCTTTCAGGGCAAATTGGGATCTTTTTTGGAAGAGAAGGGATAAGAAACAATGGTTCAAACCCTATTGGACTTTTGGACTTTAAGATTGTCTGGTGAGGCCCTGCTCTCAATCTCGCCTTCATCACAAGTACAGTTGGCAAGGATGAGAGACAGGGCCTTCTCAGTGGTGGCCCCTCGGCTATAAAACACCCTCCCTAGGGAGATCAGATCGGCTTCCTCCCTCTTAACGTTTTGGAGAAAAGTCAAAACATGGTTGTCTGAGCAAGCGTTTACAAATGCAGAGTAACTGACATAGGAAATGAATGAGTAGACGATGGAATTGGACAATGTTTTTATAATAAGGAGATGCTAATGATATTAGTTTTTATTGTTTCTGTTGTGTTTTATATTGTTTTAATGTTTTAATTTGTATTATGATATTATATGTACTGATTTGTTGTAAACCACGTTGAATTGCTGACAAGCTGAGAAAGGCGGTATACAAATACAGTAAATAAATAAATATTGCTAGTCCTAATTGGCACAGGCCCATTAAATCAGTGGTATTTGCCTATGTGTTTAATAGTTGGTTGAATAGATTTACTCTAGCGGAGATAACCAGCAGCCCAATATCTTCCACACTCAGCCATTGGAAGAACTTTACTCGACCAAGTGTTTTGCAGTGAGAAAGAGCCCATTCATCTGCAGCCATGTGTTGCAAGATTCAGTAGTATTGAAGAAATACACACAAGCACTTACTTTGTTTATAAAAGAATGATTAAATCATATAATTGGAAGAGAACACGAGAGCTAATCCTATTCTACCATGAAAGAACTGAGAGATGCCCATCCAGCCTCTACTTAAAAGTTTTCAGAAAAGGAGACTCTGGGCCCTTCACACAACCATATAACCCAGAATATCAAGGCAGAAAATCCCACAATATCTGCTTTGAACTGGGCCAAGTCTACACTGCCATATATTCCAGTTCAAAGCAGATAATGTGGGATTTTATTTAGCTGTGTGGAAGGGGCTTCCACTGCACCCCCAGGCGGCATATGCCACTATCCTCCTACATGTATTTCAATAGATGTCATTTTGAAAATGGTACTTTTTTATACCCAATTTGGGGGTTTCCCCCAAATGGTATCGCTTCTTAACTGAAATCCTAAATTTGTATGAAAACGAGAAAAATTAAAAGTATCAGGGGCGGTTGCCTGATTCAAGGATTTTAAATCATTGATCTGATTAGCTAAATGTTACAGCCCTGATTCCAAAGGATCCATTTTATTTAGTTTTAACTCTTTAAGAAAGTGAGCCTTTCAGGAATTCTTCTTCTGACTAAGGCATTTTTTTTTGCAAAGAGAATCAGTTGAACAATTTCCTTTCTTTTACCTGGGCAGGTGATGAAAAGCATAGAGGATGGATACCGGCTCCCTCCACCTGTGGATTGCCCATCAGTTCTGTATGACCTTATGAAAGCATGTTGGTCTTATGATCGGACACGAAGGCCCCGCTTCCGGGAGATCCATGCTCAGCTAGACCACTTCATCTCCAGCCCACATTTGCTTCGAAGTGTGGCTGACTTTGACCCCAGGTAAGTGATAACCAAGGTGGTCAGAACTGTAGGGCTTCCATACTGGGTGGAGTGGGTGGGGGGAGGCGCAGATTAAGCTGTTCTTACCTGCATTTCAATGTTTGGAGAAATTATGTGTAATTTTAGTTCTGCTAGCAGAATTCTGTACACAGAACTTGTGTAGAATTGTGCCCTGTTGGATGCAACTCTGCTTTCAGCATAAAGTAGAAATTCGATTGTCCTGGGTCTTCTGATGTAAAGTGCCTTTTCTCAAGGGTAACCTAGGAGGGTATCAAAGAACCATGAGCACCATGGACCCCTCCCCCCCTTGAAAAGAGCAGCCATTTCTCTCCATATCCAGCTGGAGGGGATCCTGTTCCTCTTAGACACAGCCATTTGAAGTCTCTAAACTCCATATTTCAATTCCCCAGGGTGACTCTCCGCTTGCCCAGCTGCAGTGGGTCTGATGGGATTCCCTATCGATCTATCCCAGAATGGCTGGAATCCATCCGCATGAAACGCTATATCCTCAACTTCCGCACGGCTGGCCTGAACACCATGGAGTCTGTTCTGGAACTTACTGCTGAGTAAGTCTGGGGCATCTTGACTTGGTTCTGCTCAGAGAGCAGGGAAATAGGAGTGGCAGCTATAAATGGCCAGGGCAACATTGAGCCCATACCAGGAAGAATGGAAAATCTTTCTGTCCTGTGCCTAGAACTGCAACTTCATAGCTAGCTCTTTAGGAGCTCTTCAGCCAACTTTTGCTAGCCTTAACATGTGATAAGAAGGTATAGTTCAAGAAGAAGAGATAGTCTAGCATGTGCATGATTTGGGTGGAGCCACACCTCTGTAAACACACACAATCACATGTGGTGCTTTGATCAGAAAGAGTTTTCTATTCCATTTCTATCCCAACCTCATTTTGTCAGTCAAGTGGTAGAAAGGCAGCCCTTATGGCCACAAACTTATCCTCTCCACTCCTGGTTTTCTCTGGTTAACCAGGTTTTCCAGGTTTCTGTAGAACTAAAAAACCTAGATAGCAATGACAGGGGGGCAGAATAAGAATGTGTACAACAGTAGTAAATAATACAGGTTGAGCATAATTTATCTGGAATTCCAAAATCCCAAACTGTCCGTGCATGGCTGAATAGTGATCTTTTTTTTCTGAAGGTTCGAAATATACTTTGTTTTATGCACAAAAATATTGGAAAACATTGTGCACAAAGGGTTGTTGTAGGTTTTTTCGGGCTATATGGCCTACAACAACCCAGTGATTCCGGTCATGAAAGCCTTTGACAATACATTGTGCACAAAATTACTTTCAAGCTATGTGTATTAAATGCATATGAATCATAAAAAACTTTAGTGTTTAAATTTGAGTCCCATCTCTAAAATATCTCATTAGCTGGATGTAAATATTTTTTAAAATCCAAAATATGGAATACTTCTGTTCCAAAACACTTTGCATAAGGGATACGCAAGCTGTACTTACGCAGTAGTGTTCTAAATACTAAACTGAGCAAACAGGAAAATACTATGACAGAGGCCAAAAACATCCACATATTACACAATCCTGTGCTTTTCTGTAGATGTGCCATCAGCTTCTGAGATCCGCTCAGCAGTATCACATCAATCTAGACTAGATCTACAGCTTGAATTGCATTATATGGATCTACATAGACCATATATTGCAGTTCAAACTTAATTATTTGGCAGTGGAGATCTAGCCTTAGACAACCAAGAACACTTTCAAACAGTGAGACATCTAGCACAATGACTTGAAGACGTATGGCCACCACAGGCATGGAGACAATTATATTCTATGATTTTACCTGAACAGAAGGAATTTTGTTTTGTTTTGTACTTCAATATAAAAGAAGATAAATTCAAGTCAATAAAGCTTTTCCCCCAGTGGATGAGCAATCCTTTATTGGATCTGTTAAATTTCTATTATGTGTCCACCAGTATTGAATTGTCATCTTTCCTTTGGGAGATAGTACCGTGAAAGTGTTATTTCTAAGCTATTCTTTGATTTTAGTTGTGTTCTAGGAATTGACTAGAGCAGAGCGGTTCTACCTGAAATTTTAGATTGGTGGAAAGGATATTGTATTTCTTGGGATGCTAGTACTTTACAAAATCCACCATTGGGTAGCTGTCTTGTGCAGTCACCTGACTAAACTTTTCTCCCTTTTTCTTCCAAGGGACTTGAAGCAAATGGGAGTGACGAATTCTGGGCATCAGAACCGTATTCTGTGCAGCATCCAAGGTTTCAAGGAGTGAGCAGCATTACACCACTAACCCATCGCTGGGCTTGACCCCTCTGTGCATGACTTTGTGCTATGTCCAATAGCACATGGAGAGCGAGTTGGGGCTAATGGAACTATCCTCGCGTCAACATCACAGTTGTTATTTGTGTTGTAAGCACATCAGGAGGGGTGCCAAAAGCCAAAGGCTGTTACACTGGATCCTGCAGAATCCCATGTCCCCCAGCATGCAGGCCAGGACCTGGACTAGACAAGGCAGAAGCAAATTTTCCAAGAAATGCCTTGCAATACTCAACTGGACAGCAGATGCTAATAGAATCGTAGAATCATAGAGTTGGAAGAAACCGCATGGACCATCCAGTCCAACCCCCTGCCAAGAAGCAAGAAAATCACATTCAAAGCACCCCTAGCAGATGCTTTATGAAGCAGAGTGTAGCCCACCAACCCCAGTTCATAGTCTCTTGCCTGCTTTCCCACCAGTGACCTGTTCATTCCTGTTTCCACAGTTGTTGGAGCCACTTGGACTTTCTCATTTCATAACTGTAAAGACACTACATCACAATAATTTAAAGCGGATGTTAAAGCCAGTCTGCCAGTAAAATCGTATTTAGCTATAAGGGACCTTGATCGAGACTGAAACTGGGCCAGGAGAATTACAAGCAAGCGTCCCATTGTTGTTTGCACATTTGAGGAGGGAGATAAAGCCATTAACTGCCTTTTTGACACAGTAGATGTCATCAACTCAAAACTGCCTTTAGCCCTTCTTCCTCTGTGTGTGTTTTTTTTCCTCCTAGTCCAAAGGGTGGTAACAGTTTGTTTACAGCAGGGCATCACTTGCTCCTAGGAGTTTTGTCTCCTCAAGTTGAGGACCTTAATATATATTTAAAATTTGGGGGATGGGATGGGGGGAGGGGGAGGAAGAACTATCCGATATACATATTTTGTAAATAAACTCACCATACGTATAAGATATGGCACTTCATTTTCTCTTATCAATTGTAGTTTAGTTTTATCTAATATTTATCTGAGATTAGTTTTCTCTAATATTGATGATGAGTGAAGAATCCACCTAATACTGTATCTTTCTTTTTAAAGAAATTGTAGAAAAAATGGAAAAGTCAAATCAGATCATAGAATCATAGAGTTGGAAGAGACCTCATGGGCCATCCGGTCCAACCCCCTGCAAAGAAGCAGGAAAATCGCATTCAAAGCACCCCCGACAGATGGCCATCCAGCTTTGTTTAAAAGCTTCCAAGAGAGCCTCTACCACACTCCGGGGCAGAGAGTTCCATTCAGCTCTCACAGTCAGGAAGTTCTTCCTAATGTTCAGATGGAATCTACTTTCTTGTGGTTTCAAACCATTGTTCCACATCCTAGTCTCCAGAGCAGCAGAAAACAAGTTCGCTCCCTCCTCCCTATAACTTCCTCTCACATATTTATACATTGCTATCATGTCTCCTCTCAGCCTTCTCTTCTTCAGGCTAAACATGCCCAGCTCTTTAAGCTGCTCCTCATAGGGCTTGTTCTCCAGACCCTTGATCATTTTAGTTGCCCTCCTCTGGACACATTCCAGCTTGTCAATGTCTCCCTTCAATTGTGGTGCCCAGAATTGGACAGAGTATTCCAGATGTGGTCTAACCAAGGCAGAATAGAGGGGTAGCATGACTTCCCTGGATCTAGACACTATACTCCTATTGATGCAGGCCAAAATCCCATTGGCTTTTTTTGCCACCGCATCACATTGTTGACTCATGTTTAACTTGTTGAGTCAACAATGTGATGTGGCGTTAAAAAAGATTTTGTATGTTGATTTGCACAAGTGACAGTCTTAGGAATATTGAAAAGGTAAACCTGGTGTCACCTGAGACCATATACTCAATGCAAGGTACTCCACTACCAGAGCTTTCAATCCCTCATTCCAACCCCAATCTCCACCCAAGGACCTCATCCTACAAAGGGAAGGGGGAACCGTCCTATTAGTGTTGCATTTTGAGCCTTTGTTTCGTTTAAAAATTAATAATTTAGTCACCCTCATCAGACATAATAGATTCCTTCAATTTCTACAGCAATCATCTGCTTCATTTGCCATCACACAGGGAAATATAGTCTCTGCCCATATTACTTTTTTCTTTAAAAAATGAGAACTTCGTAATTGCAACACACAGGCACAACTATAATTTTAAAATGCCAAGTCTGCAAAAAAGGAAAAAATTAATATGGTGAAATTGAAGAATTTCAAAATTTAATAGTTTCAAAAATACAAAAAATAATTAAAATAGAACCAATAAAGACAGAGAAGTAATTGCAAAAAAAAAGGGAGGGAAATGGAGGCATGATTAAAGATTGTCCACATGAATGCCCACACTTTCATGTCAGAATACGAATTGAACATGGAGAAATAAGACAGCTATCACCTCACCACTGCATAGTGATCATTTGCCATTTCTATATGAATGAAGAGCACTGCAATCACTTGCTCTTCAGCTCAAACCCCCCCCCCCCCACTTCTAAATGCACTTGGCTAAATCTGTGTGAACCTTGGTCCAAGTATGATTTTTTTCTTCAAGTTGTACATTTGACAAAGATGTTTTCATATGGCTCTTCCCTCATTTAATCGTCTTTACAAACGAAGTCCCATGGGCCACCAACAGAAGTACTCCTGCACCACTGGATGGCCTCTGTGGGGCCCCATCTTCAAAATGCCTTTTAAGTGTTCAGAAAGGGGGGAAGGCGGCATATGATGAGGTCCCACGAAATAATCCTACTATTGGGCGGGGGGAGGCGGCTGGGATATGATAGGGATACCTTTTTTGCCAGGAACTCAAGCAGTATTAAGCTGGCATACCCCTCCATCATTCAAGTGTGTGTACTTTTGGAGAATTTATCCTGTACTACCATGTGCATTGCCAAACACCCTGGTTAAACACAACCAAAGTTAACCAAGATATGGGGTGGAAGAGTTGGGAATTGTAAAAGGCACTACTTTGAAAAATAATAAGGTGGTAAGATGGGAGAGGCTGTTTAGCCTCTCTTCATCATTTGAATATGGCTCCTAGCCACAAGAGCTTGAAAATAGGTCCAAGTGCTGTACCTGGCTGGCATCACCTTGTCCCCTTCCTCCCTTCTGCATAGTTTTCTAATACACCACTTCTACAATCATCACGACAGTAACAGAAAATTGGAAAATGTTAAACAAGGGAATAACAGATCCCTTTTATTGCTTTATTTCTGGGCAAGACTTAACTATGGTGAAGTTTTCACTTCCTTTTCCATCAATTCCACTCAACAAGTGAATTGGGAAAGCTTTCAATAACACAAAACTTTACAATCTCTTCCTGTGATTATGCATTCAGAGTAAGTCCTGCTTTGTCAGTAGGTCTTACTCCTGGGAAGACATTCACAGTTGTTGTCATGCAACTGGAGCATCCATGATTGTAGTCCAGACTCTCCATGCTGGAGAAGGCTATATGGAGGAACTCAACAACACAGGAAGAATCCCTTGGATTTTTTCCCGAAGACTAATGGATGACAGCTACTAGGCTTCTTTGGTTTAAGTGATCCCCTTGGTGCAAAAATCTGAAATAGAGTCCCTTTTCAAAGCAAACCTACTCCATTCCAACCACTTTCAGGGATGTTGAGCTCCAGAAAAAATTCTGCTCATATTTAAGATGTGGCAGTAGAATGCAACATTGGAATCTCAGTATTACATCAACATTACCCCCCTGCTTTCTGTACAACAGGCCTTGACCTCTTTTCTACCAATCTTCTCCTCAATCCACAAAATGTGAAATTCGGCCTCCAAAAGGGACATTCCCTTCCTCCAAGGTGCATTTTTTGGAAATTGAGGTATGACTTTTCTTGTTATCTTTGGACTTATTGGAGCTAAAGGACTCCAACTTAAGAAGAGATTAACAACTTGATGCAAAAATGACAAGGGCACTGGAAGGTTTTTGTTTTTTGTTTTGTTTTTGTGTGTGTGTGTGTGTGTGGCAAAAACCCTGTCAGCTATTAAAAAGGCTTTAAAATAGATGGGTTTTTTTTGTTTTTCTCAATTTTGAATATTATTACTTTTTTAAACAGGTGTGCTGAATATTCCTGCTTCTTCAGAGTTGTTTCGTGCAATAGCCTGAAGCAAAACAGGACATTAATTCCATATTGTCTCCAATTCAAAGGATATACCCCAGAAACAGAAAAAAATACTGTTTGAAATTATACTTCAGCTGATTAAGCGAACATTTACTTGCAGTATATTAAATGTATACAGAGAGGAAACTAGCTTTGTAAAGGAATGTGTTCCTTGAGTGTTACAAGTGCCTTGCACCCAGTTCTAGTACTAGTGACAAAGCAAATTGATTACAAGGCTAATGTGTTACTGGCAAGTGATGTCCATTGGGATTGGGAATGCAGAGTGGCACACAATGGGTGAAGCTGAAGTCAGTAGGAGGTTAAAAAGGTAAAGGTTTTCCCTTGACGTCAAGTCCAATCATGTCCCACTCTGGGAGGGGGGGTAGGGCTCATCTCCATTTCTAAGCCAAAGAGCCGGTGTTGTCCGTAGAACCTCCAAGGTCATGTGGCCGGCATGACTACATGGAGCATCATCACCCTCCCACTGAAGCAATTCCTGTTGATCTTCTCACATTTGCATGTTTTCGAACTGCTAAGTTGGCAGAAGTTGGGGCTAAGAGTGGGAGCTCACCCCACTCCCCAGATTCCAACTGTCAACCTTTCAGTTGGCAATTTCAGAAGCTCAGCGGTTTAACCCATTGTGCCATCAGGGTAGAACCAACCAATCTAGGTTTGTTCCCCTTCATCTGTCATTATAATAACAATTCAGTGCTCCTTTTTAGCATTTCATATCTCACTGAACTAAAAAAAAATTGGTGCTTCTATGTTATCACATGAGCCTCCCATTGAGGAACCTATAAAACTAGCCACTCATACAATCCCATTAAGCCACCATTACAGGCTAAAAAAATGGCACCCCAATAGGTAGCATGTTGTCACTTCCAAAGCCATGTGGTCCAATTATGAAGCTGCATCTCTCACCTCGCCTCAAAACAAAAGGGGAAGGGAGGGAGGGATACCTCTCGCATCACCATTTCTATTACAGCATCAATAATGGCTGAATCCCTTTCCTGTCATCATGGCTAGAGGATGACATTTCCTCTGTACTGAACTGCAACATGGGGACATAATGATGGCAATCTGCTGTCCACTGTCCTCATTTTCCTCTCAGCTCTGTTTAGGGAAGAAGGAAGACCCAAAGCCAATGAAGAATAAAGATCAACACTGGAGGGCTGTAATAGAGCATAATGGGACATGTCCAGTTCTAGTTCTGTGCCTCTCCCAGGTCCAAAAATCGACTAATAGCCAAAGACAAAATCAAGAATTATTTCCCATTTTCAGACATTTTCTCGATTTTCCATGAGTATCAGCCTTTGGAAAATATCCCCTGTCCACAAAACTAGAAAATGTGAGGGATGCAAAAAAAGCCATGATCTGCCACAGTATAAAGTATTTGAGAATAGTTTTGTAAACCAACTATTATGAGGGGAAAACTGAAAATAATGTTGCTAGAAAACAATTCTCAAGAATACATATATAGATTGATCTACACAG